GATTTGCAGGCCAAGGCAGTAAGTCAACTTGTGGTGTTGCAAGATGCCGCGAAGTCCTGGTATGGTTCGGGCAGTCATCACTGCAGTCTGAAACCTGTGGCGAAGATGGGTCACCCTTATCCATAAGCCCTGTCTTGGCGTTGTTACACATGGACGTCCAGCCACACATACACATGCATGCACATCGTTATAGGAGCGAAATATTCTTAAGATGACGTTAAACCCCAATCCACCTCACCTCATCTCTTCTCATTTGGAGTCATATCTCCAGCATATGTTTTATGGTCCGAACCATCTTAGGAGCTGTGAAAGCTAAAGGTCAGTTAAAGGGCCACTGATGCAGAGCGATTAATTAAGGTTTCTCGCCAACAGTCTAATTATGAAACCTAGCTGCAAACTGGTCAGCCCCTGCTCCCTCGACCGTGACGAACACGGGCACTAAGCTACTGCCCACCCTGGCAGAATTTCTTCAACCTAATCAGTGGGACATTAGGAAGGGTGGATGCCCATCAGATGTCGTTATTTGAAAATATCCCCAGTAGTTCTTGTTTGATTGTAATGAAGTATCCCAGCAGTGTAGGCATTTTCAGATTTACAAATGTTTGGATGGTATAGTAACTGATCCAATTTGATCCTATTTCTGTGTTTTTTACCTCGATATTTAATCATGTAAAAATGTGATGTCTATCACGTATGCTATGATATCCAAAACACACATTTGATATATTTGATTCCATTAACTAAACAACCCCACTTTGTCATTGCTAAAAAAATATATCTGAAATTGTACTTTGGTATATAGGTACATACAGTTTCTAAATAAGTACACAGCAAATGTTTTTATATATTTCTTATGTAACAATGAAGTTCGATCTGGTCGTATCCTCAAAACAGTGTCGGCCCATAAGGGTTTTTTCAGACAATCAAACTTGCATGCAATACAGCGATTACTTCTCTCTTGCTGTAACCCTTGTTGGTGGTAAATCTACACGTTATTTGTCATCATTCATTTGATGGTCAGTTAATGAATTTATAACAGGTAAAATTAGTGATAACACCACTCAGATTACCCGACAAAGGTTCCCATTTGGCATTTCTTGTGTCAAAAGTAAATTCTCATCAATACAAATTAACGTCTGATGTGGCAAATGTATTACATCTTATGTAATGTGCGCATGGAAGTGAAGCAAGAGGAATTATCAGCTGAGTTTCAAAACAAACATCGATTAAAGGATTAACCAATAACACGCTGATTGATTAATTGCTTTTATCCTGCACAGCGGATTTGTCAAAAGGTAGTGTTTATGTATGTAGCTTCACTAATCTATACTGAATACACCCTGTCGTAAAGTTTCTTTGTAAAAACAACGTCCTTCCTTGAAAGGATTAACCGCCAAAACCTTGATTGGTAGCTCATTACTGGCTAACTAATGGCGGACATTATCATGGAATAATAATTCATCCAAAATTCATTATTACCACTACAAGCATTATATTAGGATTCAGATATTAGGAAAATATAAATATAGAATATTAGTAATAGCTTAGAGAAAGACTCAAGTCAAAAGTTGTAAAACTCATCTCACAGACATATTATTGAAAAAGGTATAAATTACGGCTACACAATTTCACAGATATTCAAGATAAAATCCTAGCCTAAGGTATTGAGGACTCAAGCTGTTAGCAATCCTTTCAGTAGTTCAGAGTTATGACCAGACGATTAAATGCATGTATTGTAATCCAAGCACCTGTAATTGACACATCAGATTAGGCTTGTTGAGATCTAGCCCAGGGTAAGCATCCAAGCATCCAGTAAAAGTGCCATCGAGATTAGTGCCAGTTAAAATAGGATTAACAGGATTAAGAGTAATTGCCCTGTCTGGTCATTAAAGGACACACCCCATTTTTGTATATTCTGTATTTGATAGGCTAATGTAGGTTACACCCATTTTTGTATCAGTCAACCAATCATAATCTCTTTATTGTTTTAATTGTAGATAAAATGTCTCTAACTGCATTTGTCTAGCAGTAGGGTTTAGACTCCCAACACAGGTCAGCTCTAGCCCTCAGCCCAGAGGGTTGTACCGACTCTCTGTGGCCCCCCATGTTACTCCGTTCTCGTAAATATAAGTGTGATTAGCTTCTTGTGACTTCGGACTCTTTTGCTGAGTTAATTCCCCCAAGCAGACCAGCACGCCAGTTAGATAAGGTGTTTCACCGGAACCATCACTTGGACCCAAGACCCTTATCATAATAGTTGCTATCTTGGGTGACCAATGGGATACAACAATGTGAAAAACCTGAAACGGTAGATCACTTTTTCGAATATTAGACCGTTAAAAGACACATGACATGGAACAGGATTCTTTGTCAGCTGCAGATGAATGGCATCTCATTACTTTATGTGGATATTGATGGATACATTCCCCTAACAAGGTAATAGCCGGATATTGTTGCTATAACTTTTGTCTTTTTTAATTTTAATATCTGCGTTTTGTTTTAATCTATTTGTTATGGCATTCAACAGAATCATTTATTTTGCCGTGAAAGGTAATGAGACAGACAACATACACTAGATCGCAATTTGGGTGTGTGTGTGTGAAATATGATACACGTCTAGATATTACAGTCATGTTGTAAATTCACCAAGTATAAGCAGATCGTGTGCATTTTATTAAGTTTCAAAATGCAAGGTCAAACTATTTCTTAAATCAAATTCTACATCCATTTACGTTAACATTTTTATAATGTCAAGATTACTATCAAATCAAAATTTTACATCAAAATCAGCATTTTTATCAAAGTGCATATTTTTTTTATAAGAAACCAAATTATTCATCACAGTCTACATAATTTTACAACAACATCAAGATTATTGAGTAAAGATTTCAGTCTATCACATTGCGCATGGTGGTGGCGCAGCAGAGGTAACATCCGGGTACTCACGGGAGAAAAACAATAACAAAAGCAACAACCAGTCCACGGAAATTGCTCTGCATCAGTGTCCCTTTAAGACTTTGGATATCTATACTAGAGGCCACAAGAGCAATCCAGTTTTTGTCCTTGGACCAGTGACAGTGACACTTCACCTGAAGCCGATCCCAATTTGGTCTCTGTTTGCAATTTTCTAAAATTAACGTTTAAAGGTAGCTGAGTGGGCAAGTATGATTGAGGTGAGGCTCACTAAAGCTTTAATTGGAGAAAGTTAAGTCTTGTGCTTCATTAAAAGGAAAACAAAAAGAAAAATAAATTACACAAATAAATCTTTATTGTAAAATATACTTTTGAAGCAAACAGTTGTAAGGCACTTGGGTATAATCTGTGATACAAAAATATACATTTAGAGTGATAAAGGCACTGTAGTTGATTCTTTTCAGCTGCTTGGAGAGACCAGAAAAGCTTCATTTCAAGATATTTGCATCAATATAGGAATCTAGGAAATAGCTAATTTACTCTGTTTTAGGTATTCATGGTTGAAACTGTTTATGTTCATCTTTCTCAGTTTTAAAGTCCAAATTACATTCTTGTCACGAAAACAAAACTAGCAAGGCATTCAGAAATAATTTAGATTTCATTCTTCATGGCATAAAATTTAGAAGACATAACAATAGCACCAAGGCAGAGTTGCTCATCAAGTCAATGGTGTTGACCTCCTCTGTTGAAATGGTGTTGAAATTCTCTGCAATCAAGTAAGCAGAGTGGGGCATTTGTCTGTTTCATGTGAAAAGACATCACTGCATATGATTAACAGTTTGTATTCTGAGGCACAAGATCTCCTATTAAAGGTCACATGCAACCAAAAAATCAAACATAATTAAAACACAATTATCACTTATTCATGACACATAATATACATTGCTGGTTATGAACAAACATAAAAACAAAATTATAAGCGTACAATCACAAATCAAAAGTGCAATATTTTGTACTTGGGTTTACTCCCTCGAAACGAAGCAGCCGGGATACTGAACCCAGTCAGAGTGGGTGGGTGTGCACTCAAGTGTAACGGCTGGTTCATTTGCAGATGCCCTCAGGGCTCATTGTGTGTGTATATATACAGATGTTGGGTTTTGTAAATACATGCTCATTTTTTTGGTGTATAACATTTTGCAATCAACAGACATCATAACATGTAATGTGTACAAGTATCACACCTGCCTGTCTGTGTAATTACATATCGTGACGGAGACCGAACTCGGGCCATAAATCAATGCATTTTGTGTATGGTGTATAGCCTGATAGGTGTTAAGTTCAAATTGCATGTGGTCAGTGATTGAAATTGTGTATTGAATATTGTCATTAACAGACAGGCAGGTAGACACATAGGTGCCAATAAAACAGACATTGAGTTTTGTCTGTGACAACGACATATCTATATAACAGTTAGAAATTCTGTCGACGCTAAATAATGACATTGCTTTTAAGTATCGAACTGAGAAAGTGACTCGGTAAGACTGACTGACTGAGTTTGGTTTTATGCCGCTTTTAGCAATATTCCAGCAACATACGGCGGGGGACACCAGAAATGGGCTTCACACATTGTGCCCCTGTGAGGATTCGAACCCGTGTCTTCGGCGTGACGAGCCAATGCTTTAACCATTAGGCTACCCCACCACCCCAATCGGTAATCTACTGTAATAACATATAAAAAGCTAGCGCCTGTGAAATATCAACAAAACAGTAGAAAAATAGCTCACACCAAAGCCTTCACCGAATATTCACCGGACAACCCGCTTCCAAGCTCCGCGAACCTATTTCACTGCGCATGTGCTATGAGCGCAGCCCAGCTGTTGAAACCACTTCAATTCCCCCCAAGCACTGGGGGAAAGTTAGTGAATCGTTAGAACTACGAATTCGCGCAGTTGTTTTCATCGCGTTATTTTTCAACTTTATAAGTTTAATATGCATTTTTGATGATTTGTTTCGGTAAGTCAGAAACAAAAGTATCAGAATCTGCAAAGTTGTGTTTTACGTTGCATGTCACCTTTAACAAAATTTCGTGGCAAGGTAGCACACCCGATTATGTTCTTAAAATATTAAAATGTCAGGACAGACAATCAACAAGAGAAACAAGACAAGACATTTGATGTCAATACACATATGAAACATTTGCCATGCACACACAAAATGTAAATGTTGCAAAAGTCCAAAACTGTTCACTTGAAACAATTCACCACTTTACCTATCAGTGTACCAAGATTGGTGAAGGAACAGCAAATTGTTTTCAACATCTTTGGTAAAGAGCACTAGCCAAGTTAAAGTGGTCCATGGGACTAAAAAAAATTGTTAGCCTATAAAATTGCAGTCAAATGAAAAATGTTCATTATTATCAGAGGATATATCTTAATTCAGTAAATAATAAGAACTGGTTATTTTCAAACAATACATATACATGTGCTAAATATATAAACAGATGTACACAATTAAGTTTTGGGATAAACCATACATATTAAGTATCATTACATATTACCATCACATTTCATTTGGGCTACTGATAAAGCCAGAAAACATAATGGTTTCACCTAGCAAAATAATAGGTCTGTAAAAATAGATGTGTCCTATGGGCAACCATTCGGCACAAGTGTGCAATAATAGACAAATACAAAGTATGATGTATCACATGTCACTGATGAAGTCGAAATAGAAAACAAATAGATTCTATGTTTAAAATAGGCAACAAGAAGTCCAATGAGGAATGTGCTTACAGCTTGATGTCACTAATTGAAGTAAAATAATGGTGTATGTGGAAGACAATTCACAGATACTTTCTAACTTAACTGTGGAAGTGATATATTTCATTTATGCAAAAAGGTTGTATTCTAAAGCAAATAGACTGTTACATAACTTGATGTAAAAATAATAACAAGTATGCAAATAGTTTGTCTGTAACTCCCTATAAAATATATAAAAAATTCACACACACACACACCCGTAGGTAGTATTTTGTTGATTGTGTGATTTTATCAAAGGATTGATTGGTTGGTTGGCTTGTTTAATATTGCGCTCAGCAATATGCATGCATATGAATGATTCCATTGTTAAAACTATATTCTATTTCATGTAAAATATACTTACAATACAACATTAGTTAGATACATTACAAAAGATGTACATAGTCAGTGAAATATTGGTAAACCACAAAACATCTTTACCAAGGTTTGCTAGATGTTTCCAGACTGAATTTCTGGCATGTTGCCACTGCTTGTTGAATATCTTTGCAATGTTTTTGAGTCAGATACAAGTTGTTTTTCTTTGGGTCTGTCAAAACTTCTGACAAACTCGTACTTACAATTCATTGATACTTTATTGGGTTGATATGTACCAAAAACTGTCCCGTTTTGTCTTAGAGTATAATATCCAGAACGAGATAGCTATAACTGGTATAGACCTTATGAACGCAGCCCTACTCTAAGCAATGTGAGTTGTACATTGTGTTCATATTGGTGCATGGACAGTATATCTATTACCTTATACCATGATATATCTAGCATAATGGCTTGTAATATTTGTTCCACAATTCCAGAAAACATCAGGGATGACCATGATTGAATTTATTGTAATCATGAATCACCTGATGGCTGTTTGAAGTGAAGCAGTGGGATCACGTAATCGTTCCATTTCAGATTGTGCTTTGTTGACATTTTGCAATTCATTATTTAAGTCTCGTACTAGGTGTTTGAATATCATACTTCAAAACCTGACTGACTGACTGAGTTTGGTTTTACGCCGCTTTTAGCAATATTCCAGCAACATCACGGCAGGGGACACCAGAAATGGGCTTCACTCATTGTGCCCATGTGGGGATTCGAACCCGGGTCTTCGGCCCGACGAGCCAAAGCTTTAACCACTAGACTACCCCACCACCCCTCAAAACCTGAAGCTTATTGTCATAACATGTGAAGGTCTTGTATGTAGAATGTAAATTTCCCATAGATATTGGGATTCTTAACAACATACAAATGTAGCAGGTATATAACTGAGAGTGGTGAGAAACAAGCTTCCTGAAATTGAAAAATAAACAGCCACAGATGAATTATGTACACATAATACACTGTTCAAAAAAACAATTTCAGCACAAGAGTGAAAATCACAGAAATCCTTTTTGGGTATGAGTAAGGGATTATGGTGCATGGAGCATAAAATGACTGTATGCATGAATGGTGGATATCTCTTGCAAATGTCTGCAGTGAAAGCTCATTTATGTTTCCTTGCTGTAAACTGCTTTCTCAAATTCTCACACAAACAAATCAGTACTGTCAATCTAGTTTTTCTCTTCACTGCATTGTACAATGTTGTTATGTTGATATTTTTTAATTCTGGTGCATGTGTACTTTAATATTACAATACACATGCATGAAGTTTTAGCAGTCATCATACACAAGTATAATCTGTTAAACATAAACATATAAATATATACATAAAACATATCAACAAGAGTTAAATCGGAGGTTAAATTTGAATTTATGTCATCATAATAATAATTTTATTTTAAACAAATTTTCTATAAAAATCGCTAATTGCTTAAACACAGACATAATGCATCAGTTGTCTTTGGGCTCTATTGAATGAATCTCAGGACATAAAGCTACAGTTAGATGAAAGGGAAATGTACATATTACCTGAACAAGAAAATGCATATGTCATGTAATCCTAATTATATATCATACACATCCTCTAGGCTACTCAGTATACTGTGTTGTTTGTAGAGACAAATCTCTGTAATTTACAAAATGGTGTCAAAATTTTGTAAGAAATGGATCAATAAATTAACATATATAACTCACAGCACTGCCTGATAGAATATCATAGGTAAATCTTCTATTTCAAACTTTGACGACTGGTATCTCTACTGCAAGGGACTAACTGCTTAGATGATAGAGGCATGGCACACTAAGTATATTTCAGAAACATAAGTCAGACTTTAAAAAAAATTAAATCATGTGTAAATGAGGAACTGTTGATCAAAACGTTACATGTTTATAATCAAACAGTAAATTCTTGCATTATCTATACAGTCTGGGATAAAGTAAGTGTGCATTATTTGATGTTATGCCATTTTTCAATGCAAATAGAAACTAGCATGATTTGTGGTGTTTTCCTTCATGACTGTTTAACTGTTGACAGGATAATATAAAAATCTGCATGATTTGAAACAAGGCATCGTGACACGCCCTTGAAGAGATCTGGTGTCAAATTTCAGTATCATGTGCGTCCACCATTGGTGATTTATGCAGTGTTGACAACTAACTAGTGCTGCAACAGTATACAGCAGTTCTCAATATACTGCAGTATTTACTCTCGGCTAAATTTTTGGTTCAGATTGTGCTAATTTTGGTTCAGTCCCGAAAAAGCATGACACGTGACTAAATAATGCAACGAGGCATGGTTCAATTCGTCGTGGCAAGCCAATCGCTTGATAAGCAACTGCTTATGATAAAAATAACGACCCGTCTGATTTGCTCCATTCAGCCAATCACTATCACTGTCACTGACAAGTGTGAGATTTTGGGAGATAATGAGAAAGCCACCATTAAAAAACGGTGTATTGTCACGGCATTTTCTACGTCAGAACATGTACTATATGCTGGAATAAATTTAAAACAGTTTTAAAGTGAGAGAGTAATGCCTGATGCCCCTCGACTTATCTTGTGATGGAATAGATGGTATGTCACACATATCCAGATTAAGTTGTAAAGTAGAATATATCAAAAGCATAAAAAAGTGACGAGAATCACTTAAATTTTAACCCACAAATATGAAAATCACTATGCTGCAAAATACAGATTTTATACATATCACAGTTGAGAGAAGGGGTTAATTGCATCGTGTAACAGGTTAATCAAATCCTGTGATTATGCACAAATGTCAGAGAGTTGGTTTAAACTAATCGTGTAACAAAAGCATATCATTCAAGAGCAACAATGAATTTTCACTCTCTATACTGAGCAAATACAGCACTAATAAAAATACACTTTTGATCATAACTGCTGTTTTCAAAGATCATCATTATTAAGAAAGGCATAAAAAGCTTTCTCTGAGAAATATATGTGAGAAAAGATAACGTGGAGTGATGCCCAGTCCATGCTTGCAATGCACATTTTGAAGTTGTACATGAAATTGTTTAATATATATCTTGTCATACAGTATTGTACATTTTATGCTTTTTAGCAAGTGGGCTTCACAAATTGCACCCATATGGGGAATCAAACACAGGTCTTCTGGAGCTTTTAAACACATGGTTAACCAACCACCCCCATTATGATACTGAGCAGACTCTGGTATTGAAAAACATTTTGAGAGTAACAAGCAAAAAAACAAAAACTCAAACAACAGAAAGGAACGTCATTCATGATACATCTATTTATCTTCTTCTTTCTTTTCCTCCTCTATCGGTGGTGGTCCAACAACTCCAATCTGGATGCCAGCATACTCAGTGGATTCCTCCTCTCTGTGGACATGTGGGCTTGGGTTGTGGCTACTGAAGTCTATCCCAACATACAGCAGGCCATCGTCATCCCGCCCTGCCTTTGCTCCCTGCATGCAATTTAACAGTATATGCCACAGCTGATTATGTGCTAAGTTTGAAAGTATCTAGGCTTTTGTTGAAGAAAAATGCTCCAATACTGAATTACTGGTAATCACATTTTGTCCAAATATTGCTGTAGCACAGTATCTCACCTAGATGTACCATCAACGGTTTCAAATGTAAATCTCAATATGTCACAGCCCTGAATCTCACCTTCACATGTAATCAACATTTTAAACTGTCTGTAATCACAAATATTTTAAACAAGAGTCATCAGAAGATGACAAATACCCCTGGCCCCAACAAATTTGAAAGAACAAATCTCTATGGAAATGATAAAAATTACAAATGCCAAAACTCTGCAAATAGCATAAGACACCATTTCAAGATCTCTTTGATATATCAGCCAAGTCTTGTAGAAAGATATTGAACGGTTTTCGAGTTGTGCTCTGGAAACTAAGCCCATCCCTCCCTTTTGCGTTTCCATGGAAACCAATAAAAATAAAAATGCTCAAAATCCCCAAATAGCAAAAGGCACCACTTTGGGATCTGTCTTATACATCTGACAAAATTTGTTTAAAGATATGTAATTTTCTGAATAAAATTGATATTTTATACTTATCCTGACTCATGCTATTTGCTTGTCTTCTTCTTCTTGTGAACATAGTGGAACACTTGAATCTCCCAATTGAAGTTCCCTTCAATGTAAAATCACTAATTAGTACTCAAGAGTTATCTGTCCCCTCAAAAGAGCGTGAACGAGGGTGCCACCTCCTGTCATGTGCCTCACTCTCTCCTCATATAGCGAGCCCAACACTTGAATTTTCAGGGAAATCCAAAGTGTTATGTGGGGAGGATGGGAGGGCTTACCTCATGAGTCAGGATAAGTATAAAATATCAATTTTATTCAGAAAATTACATATTTTTCCTTATCCTGACTCATGCTATTTGCTTGTAGAATCCGACGGATACGGAGGTGGGAATACAGAATACTTTGGATTTAGATAATTAGTGATTTGTACTGTAATGACTGTAATAACCCTTATGGGAACTTCATAAAGGCACTGAATTGATGAATTCCTGCTGCTAACTAATCAGCTGCCAGATATGGGTTATTACAATATAATTATTATGATAAAAGTATATACAACATGAATACAATGCTTAAGACTAATAGACTTAAGTTTGTTAATATGATAGCATAAACTCCTTAGAGTTTATTAGCTAATATACTTTTATGAAGTAAACATAGTACTAAGCTTAAGATATGAATAAACTTAAGCTATATATATAATAGCAAAACTCCTAAGAGTTTGTTAGCTAATATATTTTTATGATATGTGTATAGTACTGTGCTTAAGATATAATTAACTTAAGCTACATATATAATAGCAAAAAGTCTGTAAAGTTTGTTAGCTAATACATTTTATAATGTAACCATAATACTGAGCTTAAGATATGATGAAACTTATGCTAAATATATAATAGCAAAAAACTCCTTAGAGTTTGTTAGCTAATATACTTTTATGATATAAACATAGTACTGAGCTTAAGATATGATTAAACTTAAGCTAAATATATAATAGCAAACTCCGTAGAGTTCTTAGCTAATATATTGTATGATATAACAACCATAGTACTGAGCTTAAGATAATAAAAGAACTTAAGCAAAATATATATAGCATGTAGCTATTTAGTACTGTTATAAGATAAGTAGAAATCTGTACGATTGACTTATCTTCTCCGAGGAACTGTCAACTGTTGTGCGAGGACCATGGGACCGAAATGGTGGATATATCATGGAATAATAATTCATACAAAATTCATTATTACCACTACAAGCAATATATTAGGATTCAGATAAAAGGAAAATATAAATATAGAATATTAGTAATAGCTTAGAGAAAGACTCCAGTCAAAAGTTGTAAAACTCATCTCACAGACATACTATTGAAAAAGGCATAAATTACGGCTACACAATTTCACAGATAAAATATATAATCCTAGCCTAACGTATTGAGGACTCAAGCTGTTAGCAACCCTTTCAGTAATTCAGAATTATGACCAGACGATTAAATGAACTACTTTCATAAAGTAAACATGTCATCATCTATATTACAAGACTTTAAGCAAGCACCAATTAAGGGCTATAAAGACATGGCCCACAGTAAATGCATCTATTGTAATCCAAGCACCTGTAATTGACACATCAGAATAGGCTCATTAAGATCTAGCCCAGGGTAAGCATCCAAGCATCCAGTAAAAGTGCCATCGAGATTAGTGCCTGTTAAAATAGGATTAACAGGATTAAGAGTAATTGCCCTGTCTGGTCATTGAAGGACGCACCCCATTTTGTATATTCTGTATTTGATAGGCTAATGTAGGTTACACCCATTTTTGTATCTGTGAACCAATCGTAATCTTTGTATTGTTTTAATTGTAGATAAAATGTCTCTAACTGCATTTGTCTAGCAGTAGGGTTTAGACTCCCAACACAGGTCAGCTCTAGCCCTCAGCCCAGAGGGTTGTACCGACTCTCTGTGGCCACCCCATGTTACTCCGTTCTTGTAAATATAAGTGTGATTAGCTTCTTGTGACTTCGGACTCTTTTGCTGAGTTAATTCCCCCAAGCAGACCAGCACGCCAGTTACATAAGGTGTTTTACCGGAACCATCACTTGGACCCCAGACCCTTATCATAATAGTTGGCAGAGAATCAACGATTTTCGGAAACCTCGGAGCACAGGAACTAACTACAACCAGCTACAAGAACACATGGAATAACAAGCGACTGCATCCACGTCTGATCTCAACACTGGATTAAGGACCACCAACTCCTGTAAAGACACCATCCAAGGAAGAAAAAGTCTTCAAAAATTGTAAGTACTCATTTACATTGTTGATTTCTTGTCTTTCTTAATTATAGTACGGTACATACTATAAGGTGTCATGGCCAATATGGAGTCTGGTATGGAAAGTAACTGTGGAAGTGAAATTCCAACTGTGCCCTTAGTTACCCCCCTTGCCAAAAGTGTAATTCAGGTAATATTTGGCACTGAAACAACAACTTGTTTAATAGATAGAGGGGCATCCATTTGCTGCATTTCGTCTGCTTTTCTAAACAAAGCTTTCAACAACCCTGTACTTGGAAACTCACCCTTTCCACAAATACAAGGTGTTGGCGGCGAATTGCACAAAGTGTTGGGTTCAGTTGTGTTAGATTTTGTCATTGAAGATCAAGAATTTTCACAAAAATTCTATGTCCTGCCCTCATTACCTAAGTCAGTCTTACTAGGTGAGAACTTCCTCAGTGATAACGATGCAGTCATAGATTATAGCTGCCATTCCCTCAAAATAGGCAACAGCACCTCAGATAGGCAATATATCAATTTCATTGCCAATCCAGATCAAGAAATTTGTGGATTAGCAAAAACAATAGATCAGATATATATTCCCCCTCAGAGTGAAATTCATTTCAAGGTAAGACTGCCTGAGGCAAACAATGATTCCCTCATCCTCATTGAACCAATTGCCTCCCTCACTGCTCATTCTGAAGTAGCAGGTGGTAGGACCCTCTCGAAAGCGCATAAGAAAACTGCTACATTTAGGCTTATGAATCCTTCTCAAGACGAAAAAGTAATAGACAAAGGTACAGTTTTAGGAAAATTTAGTTACATTGACAGCCACTCTGTCTTTGAAATTGACTGTGACCAGCCATTTGTAAGTACAGTTAACACTGCCAATAAGAAGACCGACAATGACACTAGGGATTACGTCAAAATTGCTCAAGACTTAGGATTTGACTTGACCAAGACACAACTGACGCCAGACCAACAACAAAGACTACTCAGGTTTTTAGGACAAAACAGAGACATGTTTTCCACAGGCCTCGCAGATTTAGGGAAAACTGACATGAATGAGCATGTCATTGACACAGGCAACCATCCCCCTGTTAGGTGTAGGCCTTATCGTCAGTCTCCTCATCTCCCAAAAGTCACTGAAGAACTTATTGAAGATTTTCTCACATATGATTTAATAGAGGAGTCCACTTCAATGTATTCAGCCCCCATCATCTTAGTTAAAAAACGTGACGGATCATATAGATTTGTTTGTGACTACAGAAAATTAAATTCTATCACATTACCCATGTCATGGCCACTCCCTGTTTTTGACGATGTTGTTGATCACATCGGCAATAGCCAAGCTACAATTTTTTCCACGTTAGATCTTGCCAATGGCTTCTTCCAATTGCCATTACACGAAGACACAAAGCATAAAACTGCTTTTGTCACCCATCAAGGCCTTTATCAATTCACACGTTTGCCCCAGGGTTTGTCTAATTCTCCACTTTGTTTTCAGCAACTCATGAGCAAAGTCCTAAGAAAATTGCTTTTCAACTTTGCGTTGATTTACATTGATGATTTGATAATCTACAGCAAAAACTTTGAAGAGCATCTCCAACATTTGGAGCAAGTCTTCTACTATCTCAAACAGGCAAAATTAACACTGAAGCCATCAAAATGCAATTTTGCAACCGACAAGGTTTCATTTCTGGGTCATGTTTTATCATGTGGAGGTGTTCAAGTTGATGACAAAAAGGTCGAAGCAATTAAAACCTTCCCAATACCTAAATCACAAAAACAGGTTCGCTCATTTTTAGGCCTCACAAACTTTTACAGAAAGTATGTGAAAAGATTATGCGAAAATAGCACTGCCATTGAACGCATTGTTAAAAAAGCATTCATAGGCAGAAACTGGTAAGAAACCAAAGTTCCAGTGGTCACTTGGGTGTGATCAGGCTTTCAACACACTCAAAGATGCTATGTGTAACACACCTGTTCTGGCTTATCCAGACTTTGACAAAGAATTTTTTCTTGCAACTGATGCCAGCGATATGAGCATAAGGTTTGTCTTGAGTCAAAAAGATGAGAAGGATAATGAACATCCTATAGCTTTTGGAGGCAGAGCTCTTCACGGCAGCGAGAAGAATTGGAGCATCACAGAAAAAG